GCCTCACACCGGGACTCGTAAAGAAGTGTTACAGTGTCATAAGTTACCAAAACAATGTCGTTGGCCCACAGATCTGGTGCCGTCCACTTTTTTCGCTCCTCTCCATGATACACCGCGTATTTTGTGAGACTCGCGTCAAGGTGCTTGCATATCTCTGCCTCCCAATTGGGTAACGTCGATAATGGGCAGATCACTAACGTTGACCTTGCGTTTTGCTCTTTCGTATTAGCAAAGGATTCAGCCACGTTCTTCGAAGTTAAAATGAGCGCTAGGGAAGTTAGGGTCTTTCCGAGCCCCATATCGTCAGCCAGGATTGATCCTTGACTGTTATGATTAATTCGCTCTGTCGTTCTCCCGGTAGTCGCTATATGGTGAAATGCTTGCCTCAGCCAATCACAGGTCGATGAACTCCAAAAGGTCGACAGTGTTGTTGATTCTGGGGATTCCAACTCTAGGATGAACTGCACGGCTTTTTGCTGGTGGGTCAAGAGCGGTGTTTTGCAGCCATGAACCGATTTCCCGGGCACCGCCCGTTGCCCAACCTCGACATGCAAAGCATGGGGAACCCCAAAGCATTGTTCGGGACGGTAATCTTCAATGATTTCGACTTTTAGATTGCTCTCTTCAAATACTCGGAGTACCTCGGCAGAGTGTTCAGAAGCCGAGAACAGCATTAAGATTACGGTCAGACTTGGTGTCGGTGAGGGAGAAGCGAAAACGGTGGCATTCATAATGATTCCCGGGTACGATGTCTTGGGGGGGTTCTGAAGGCCTAAAAAGGTATTCAGCTCCGTTGAAACCGTGCCTGTAGGGCCCACAAGCAACTTGTTCAAAACGTTGGATAGGGGTTGGCTGACATGACCGACTTCCTCCCCGGGCCAGGTAAAAACTTGCATGGTTTCTGCTCCTTTTCGAAGGAGCGCTCGTGTTTGGCTGGGGTATTTGATCGATCGTCGAATGCGATCAACCATGATGCAATTACCAGATATGGTGCCAAGGCATTCGAGGTTTTGAGAGTTAGCCTGTTGGGTGTCTTGCTCTGGGTTCATTTTGTTTCAGAAGAAAGTGGGAAAAGGTTAGTGTTTAGGACTGATAACAGATAAGTGGATGACAGGAGACTAGCAATATATACTTACGTCTGGTGTGTCGCGATCCACATCCAGTTTCTGCATCGGCTGTGTGGCAAGTGTCATCAAGCTTGCGGGTCGGCTGTCTGGGAAGGGCATTAACCTTTGGTTGAGCGAGGTCTTGTAGATGATGCTCAGATTTTGTTGCTTGGCAGTGCTTGGGTCAATTGATATTCACTCACTTGTGTGCATGAGTTGTAAGCATAGCTCAGCAACTTTACTCCCAAAGCCAAAAGTCAAGCATTTTCATGAACTAGAAAGTAGAGCATACACTTTGCTCATTTGCTTGAAAACAACTGTTCAGTACATGCTGTCATACATATGTATAGAACAATCACCCAGTCTAGGTGAGCTTGTTGCAATCCTTTTTTAACTTTGACATCCAGATCCAGTAGTACATATTATAATCATGCTTGCAAGTTTAGATATAACTCAAATTTACCCATCTCTTATCTTGCATTTGAAAATAAGGAAGATCAAAGACATTCATCTTGCTGCATCTCTGTCACCCACACAGTGTCTTGTGGCTTCCACACCACAATCCCTAGTTTGATTCAATGGGAAGAAGAATTGTGTCTTTGAGTTTCTCTGGTATTTGTCCAATAGTCCTCCAGTATTGTAAGTAGCAAAAATAGATTCTCTGTATTTAATAATTTATACTTTTTTTGACTTGAGTAATTGAAAAAAGTGATGGACTTGAAACCAAAGAAAATGATAACTTCACCCTCAAGAAAGTCACAATGTTGTGAATTGAAGTGTATATATATATATATATATATATATATATATATATATATCAATGGCTCATTGCTGAGAGAAAATTAGAAGCTTTACTTTTTGAAGTTGATGTGTGCTTTTTGAGAAGTTGACATTATCTGGGATTTTAGCTGATTTTGTTGACTTTGTTGGTTTACATTAATTCCTTCCTTCTTTGTATTTTTTACTTGAAATAGTTTATATATTCCTTTTTGTCAGTATCATTTTTTGTTTCATTATATTATTGATTTCATAACTTATCTTACTATTTATTCATTTTTATTCTCATGTTTTATATTGCCATTTTTGTGATAATGTCTTCTATGTGTTATTTATGTTTTAGAATCAGGCTGTGTCTATGATATATTCAACTAGAAGTTCCACCACTTGAGGGAGTCATTGATTCCATTGGATTAACAATTTTCTTTTCTTTTTTGATTGTTTGCAACATGTCAATTTGATTTACAACACCACTTGGCTTCATCTTTTTGCATTGAAATAAATCAATACATATTTGCAAAGAAAAGTTAATCAGTGGCATTCAAGGGTGAAGGCATTTCTGCTTTGCCTGCAAAAATCTCTACCAGTTTGTAAAGTAAGGGCAACAATTTAATTTTCTGAAAATTATTCTTGAGTGATCAAAATAACCAGTGGAATTTCAAGAACATATTGGTGGATTGTAACATTTTGCTACACCAAACATAGCCACAGGATTAAAATGTAGTGATACCATTGCAACTCAAGGCTATCATACAAGTTATTCTTGCCTAACATCAAAGTTTTAATCATGGCAATGAGCCCACATTGCCTTGCTTTTGGGGGTGGTGAGCTTACATACTATAAGGTGGAATGATAGAAGATTG